TTTAAAAAACTGTTTTAAATTCCTCGCCTTCAAAACTTAACCAAGAGGCCTCCCAACGCACAACCTGTGCACAGGTAAACGCCGAAACCCAAGCCTAAGCTGGGCCACCGCCTCCGGGAATGTGGCCCAAAAAAAGGTAAAAAATAAACTTCACGAAAACAAAGCCACACTGGGCGGAATGTAAATGTCTCCTAGTAATGGTAAACACTTTTTCTAAATAAACAAGGCATTTGCCACCAAAACCAAAACTGCCTCCGTGGTAAATTCTTATTCAATGAAATCATCCCTCAACATGGGCTGCCGTTTGCCATAAAATCTAATAATGGGCCAGCCTTAACCTCGTCCATAGCTCAGTCAGTCAGTAAGGCGTTAAACATTCAATAAAAACTCCATTATTCCTGTCAACCTCACAGCTCTAAACGGGTAAAACGCATAATTCAAACCTTAAAAAGTACGCTCACAAAATTAATCTTAAAAACCGGTAAGGGTTAAACAAACCTCCTTCCTTTAGCCCTTCTTAGTTGAATGCACTCCTTAAAGGTGTCTCTCTTTTAAAATCATGTACAAAAGGCCTCCGCCTATATTGCCTAAACTAAAATACCCCCACCTAGCAAAAATATCCCAGGCTCACTTGTTACAGCACCTGCAGTCTCTCCAGCAGGCTCCAGACGTCATCCAGCCACTCGTCCAGGAAGCGCGCCCCAATCCTGCTTGTTTATCTCCTTTACCTGCTCCAGGTATTCGTTCCCAGATTTCATTCAACAGCGCAGAGGGTCTGTCAAGCTTCTGCATCTCAAAACCCAATATAACCCTCTTGTTATAACTAAAAAGTCAATGCTTTCACTCCCCAAAAACACCAGTGGAAAATGTGACAACCTAACTTGTGCTAACCTGACCGACTCCATCTTAGCTGTGAGCCTGACTGACTCCATCTTGGCTTCTTGCCCCGCCCCCCGCCGTTTCTCCGTTGAGTGCATACCTGGGCCACACTGTGCTGGGTCATGTTGTGCTTAGAACTGAAGAAACATAGCCGGGCGCCATGTCTCACGCCTGTAATCCCAGCACTTTGGGAGGCTGAGGTGGGTGCATTACCTGAGGTCAGGAGTTCGAGACCAGCCTGACCAATATGGTGAAACCCCATCTTAAAAAAAAAAAAAGAACTAAAGAAATATATAACCGTTGTAAACATATCCTGCTGGACAGGCCCCCTTGCTATTGTGATCCCCCCTTGATTGATTATCTGGAAAGTACCGAATGCCCCCTTGGTAACCAGCAATCATGGGAACTCCTCGTGTATACCCTCCTCAGTTAATCAACAATCACGGGAGCCTCCTGCCTCCTAGTTACCAGCCTCCTCCCCTAACCTGCCTATTCTGCGCCTGTTAAATTCCGCTCTGCCCCCTTACCCTGAGCAACATATAAAAGGAAATCAAACCCCTTCCTCGGGGCCGAGATTTTTTTTTTTTTTTACAAAACAGCAATTGGAAACGCTCTGGGTTGAGAGTGGGGCCGAGAGATTTTAAGCGTGAGCTGACTCTCGGTTGCCAGCAATACAGGACTGACAGTCAGATTTCAGAGCGTGGCGTTTTCCTATCAACTCACCCGGGATAACAGTCGCAGTGAGCCAAGATCTCACCACTGCACTCCAGCCAGGGCAACAGAGTGAAACGCGGTCTCAAAAAAACAAAACAAACAAAAAAAACCACGTGGGAGAGCTCACACATGCATTGCGGGATGAAAGGCCACAGAGACGCGGAAGACTGCCGTCTTGGGAGTACTACACACTGGGGTCTATTGGGGGGACTAGGGGAGGGACAGCGCGGGGGGGGGTGCTGGGGAGGGATAGCATGGGGAGAAATGCCAAATGTGGGTGAAGGGGAGGAAGGCAGCAAAACACACTGCCATGTGTGTACCTGTGCAACTATCTTGCATGTTCTGCAATGTACCCCAAAACCTAAAATGCAATTAAAAAAAAAAAAAAAAAGATTGCCGTCTGCAAGCGCCGCCAAGAGCCTCCTCCAGGAACTGCAGCCACTGGCGCCTGGATGATGGGCTTCCGGGGCTCCAAAAGTGCGAGAAAATAAAAATTTATTTTCTTTTTCTTTCTTTTTTTTTTTTTTTGAGACAGAGTTCCGCTCTTGTTACCCAGGCTGGAGTGCAATGGCGCGATCTCGGCTCATCGCAACCTCCGCCTCCTGGGTTCAGGCAATTCTCCTGCCTCAGCCTCCTGAGTAGCTGGGATTACAGGCACCATGCCCAGCTAATTTTCTGTATTTTTAGTAGAGACGGGGTTTCACGGTGTTGACCAGGATGGTCTCGATCTCTTGACCTCGTGATCCACCCGCCTCGGCCTCCCAAAGTGCTGGGATTACAGGCTTGAGCCACCGCGCCCGGCCCGAGAGAATAAATTTCTGTTGTTTAAGCCGCCCAGTATTTCGTTATCGCAACCTGAGCTGACTAAGACAATCCCGCGCAATACAGGACTGTCTGGCTCCAGAAACCACAGCTCTGAGGATGGGAAACCTTGTTAATTATAAGAAGACAACCTTGCCGGGCGCGGTGGCTCAAGCCTGTAATCCCAGCACTTAGGCCGAGGTGGGTGGATCATTTGCGGTTGGGAGTTCGAGACCAGCCTGACCAACATGGAGGAACCCCATTACTACTAAAAATACAAAATTAGCTCAGTGTGGTGTCACATGCCTGTAATCCCAGCTACTCGGGAGGCTGAAGCAGGAGAATTGCTTGAACCCAGGAGGCAGAGGTTGTGGTGCGCTGAGACTGTGCCATTGCACTCCAGCCTGGGCTACAAGTTCGAAATTCCATCTAAAAAAAAAATTTACCCGGGAGTGGTGGAGCATGCCTGTAATCCCAGTTACTTGGGAGGTTGAGGCAGGAGAATCACTTGAACTGGGGCAGTAGGTTTCAGTGAGTCACTGCTCTCCAGCCTGGGCAACAGAGCAAGACTCTGTCTCAAAAAAAAAAAAAAAAAAGGAAACATATGTCCACAGAGTAGCTTGCACATGAATGTTTATAGCAGTTTATAACAACACACCTGAATGCCAGGACTTTGGGAGGCTTAGGCAAGAGCGTCACTTGAACCCAGGAGTTTGAGGCCAGCCTGGGCAACATGGTGAGACACTGTCTCTAACTGAGAAAAAAAAGAAGAAGTTGGGCGTGTTGGTTCAGGCCTGTAATCCCAGCACTTTGGGAGGCCGAGGCAGGAGGATCACAAGGTCAGGAGTTCGAGACCAGCCTGACCAACATGGTGAAACCCTGTCTCTTCTAAAAATACAAAAATGAGCCAGGCATGGTAGCAGGAACCTGTAATCCCAGTTACTAAGGAGGCTGAGGCAGGAGAGTCGCTTGAACCCAGGAGGTGGAGGCTGCAGCGAGCCAAGATCGTTCCACTACACTCTAGCCTGGGCGACAGAGTAAGACTGTCTCAAAAATAATAATAATAAAAAAATAGAAAAAAGAAGAAGAAAGAAGAAGGAGAAAAGGAAGAACAGGAGGAGGAGGGGGAAGACGACAGTGGCAATTCTTCATTGCTTTGGATCTAGCAGTGAATTCTTACATTTGACACCAAAAGCACAAACAACAAAATAAAAATTGGTAATTGTCAACTGATAATTGGACTTTAACAAATTAAAACTTTTATATAAGAAACAAACAAAAAAGAACAAAATCACTAGTGCTCAGAGAAGCAGATGTGGATGCCAGTCTTGGAGCACTGGGAGCCGTGGAGTGGCACGAGAGCCACCAGGCTTGAATCCATAGCCCCTAGACGTCGGCTCTGGTGTTGGAGGCGTCCGTAAGCCTGTGCATGCTGTAACCGTCAGAAGACGACTAGCAGGAAGTGTCCGAGAGAACCAGAGAACTGACTCCTTTGAGGAGGAAGTGGTCAATGTGTCAAATACAAGTGTGGAGGAGCAGTCATCAGAACGGCTGAGCAGGTCACTGTGTGTTCCAGGAAGCTCATTAGCGTTGGTCACACAGACAGCTTCAGAGCAGGTGTGGGGAGAGGGGCCAGTTTCCAGCGGGTGGGGAGCACACGCAACAGGTCAGAACAAAGGCTGCCTGTGTGAGTTATGCCTTAGGGAACGCGGGCCCCCCCAGAGCCATGGGCCAGTGAGGGCCACTGGGAGTGGGTCTTCTGGCTGGGCGCGGTGGCTCATGCCTGTAATCCCAATTACTCTGGAGGCTGAGGCAGGAGAATCGCTTCAACCTGGGAAGTGGAGGTTGCAGTGAGCTGAGATTGCGCCACTGCACTCCAGGCTGGGTGTGCAGAGTGAGACCCTCTAAAAAAAAAAGAGGAAGGTTGATCTCCTAGAAGTGAGAGTAGGTAGAGGTTCCCCGGGCTGGGGCAGGAGGGGAGTGAGATGTTGGTCAATGGGCAGAAGTGTTCAGTTACAAGATGAGTTAGTTCTGAGGATTTGATACGCAGTATGCAGATTATGGTTAACACGAACGGTTTTTTTTTTTTTTTTTTTTTTTGAGACGGAGTTTCGCTCTTGTTACCCAGGCTGGAGTGCAATGGCACGATCTCGGCTCACCACAACCTCCGTCTCCTGGGTTCAGGCAATTCTCCTGCCTCAGCCTCCTGAGTAGCTGGGATTACAGGCACGCGCCACCGTGCCCAGCTAATTTTTTTTGTATTTTTAGTAGAGACGGGGTTTCACCATGTTGACCAGGATGGTCTCGATCTCTTGACCTCGTGATCCACCCGCCTGGGCCTCCCAAAGTGCTGGGATTACAGGCATGAGCCACCGCGACTGGCAACACAAACAGGTTTTTTTCTTTTTTTTTTAGAAATGGGGTTTCACCATGTTGGCCAGGCTGGTCTCAAACTCCTGACCTCAGGTGATCAACCCACCTCAACCTCCCAAAGTGCTGGGATTACAGGCGTGAGCCATTTTAAAAATATATGGAGTTTCACTCTTTTACCCAGGCTGGAGTGCAATGGCGCAATCTCGGCTCACTGCAACCTCTGCCTCCCAGGTTCAAGCGATTCTTCTGCCTCAGCCTTTCAAATAGCTAGGACTACAGGTGCCCGCCACCACGCCTGCCTAATTTTTGTATTTTTAGTAGAGACGGGGTTTCACCATGTTGACCAGGATGGTCTCGATCTCTGGACCTCGTGATCCACCCGCCTCGGCCTCCCAAAGTGCTGGGATTGTAGGTGTGAGCCACCGCACCCGGCCTACTTTGCTTATTAAACTTTCACTCCCACGTCGCCCTTGTGTCCCACTCCTTAACCATTTTAGATGTGATACAAAGAACTGCAGGTGATACCTCCCAAGAGTGACTGCTACATTGTGGAGCACGGGTGAGATGGCAACAGCGTGACGCAGAGCCACCTCTCCCTCCCATTCAAAGCTCTGGTTACACCGAGCGCGTTTCACTCCTGTCTTGTGTCTCAGTCTCTACCAGCACCCTCCCCTTCCCTACATCCACACCTTCCTCAAGGTCCCTATCAGATGGCATCTTGCACGGGAAGAGGTTCTAGTATTTCCTCTGTCACAAGCCTGTCATCTGAACAACATGGATGGAAATGGAGCTCATTATGTTAAGTGAAATAAGCCAGGCACAGAAAGACACGCTTCAGGCCAGGGGCGCTGCCTCATGCCTGTAATCTCAGAACTCCAGCACTGTGGGAGGCTGAGATGGGTGCATCACCTGAGGTCAGGAGTTCGAGACCAGCCTGGTTGACATAGTGAAACCCTGTCTCTACTAAAAATACACAAATTAGCCGGGTGTGCTGGCACATGCCTATAATCTCCACTACTGGGGAGGCTGAGGCAGGAGAATCACTTGAGCTCGGGAGGTGGAGGTTGTGATGAGTTGAGATTGTGCCATTGCGCTCCAGCTTCTGGGCAACAGAGTGAGAGCATACGTCTCAAAAAAAGAAAAAGACAAACTTCATTTGTTCTCACTTATTTGTGGGAGCTAAAAAGGAACACAACTGAACTCAGGGAGACAGAAAGTAGAATGATGGTTATTGGAGGCTGGGAAGGGTGGTGGGGAAGAGGGGATGATTAATGGGCACAAGAAATAGAATGAATAAGACCTAGTATTTGCTAGCACGACTGAGTGATTACAGTAAAAAATAACCTAACTGAACATTTTAGAAAAACTAAGATTATAATCGCATTATTTGTAACACAAAGGGTACATACTTGAGGTGATGGATACCCCGTGTACCTGACGTGACTATTAGGCATTGCATGCCTCAAAGTATCCCATGTACCTCATAGATATATACACTTACTGTGTACCCACAAAAACTGAAAAAGGCTGGGCACGGTGACTGTAATCCCAGCACTTTGGGAGGCCAAGGTGAGCAGATCACCTGAGGTCAGGAGTTCAAGACCAGCCTGACCAACGTGGAGAAACCCCATCTGTACTAAAAATACAAAATTAGCCAGGTGTGGTGGCTCATGCCTGTAATCCCAGCTACTTGGGAGGTTGAGACAGGAGGATCATTTGAACCTGGGAGGCGGAGGTTGCAGTGAGCAGAGATTGTGCCACTGCACTCCAGCCTGGGCGACACAGCAAAACTCAAAAGAGAATCTCAGAAACAAAACAAAATACAAAACAAAGCAAAGCAAAACAAAACAAAACCTAAAAATATCCCCTGGCATGCTGGCTCGTACCTATAATCCCAGCACTTTGGGGGCCCAAGGCAGGAGAATTGCTTGAGCCCAGGAGTTTGAGTCTACCCTGGGCAACATAGGGAGACCTTATTTCTACAAACAATAATTTAAAAAATAGCTAGGTGTGGTGGCATGTGCTGTAGTCCCAGCTACTCAGCCCAAGGTGGGAGGATCACTTGAGCCCAGGAGGTCGAGGCCACAGTGAACTGTGATCCCACCACTGCACCTCAGCCTAAAAAAGAAAAAGAAGGAACAACAGCAGCAACGGAAGACTGACTCCCCATTTACTGATTCATTTATTTGAGGTCTGCACCCCTGGATAACCGATCCTATCACGGCAGGGGCCATGTTTGCTCTGTGGGCAATGCATTCACCAGAGCCTGGCACATAGGAGGCACTTGTAACAGACACGGGAGGTACTTGTTACAAAACCCTTCACTGTCTAGTTCACGAGTACCAATATTTAGCCTGCCGCACAGTCACATGGAGTCAAGGCTGCATTTTCCAACCACTGTGTCGGGCTGAATTTTTGTATTTTTAGTAGAGACAGGGTTTCACCATGTTGGCCAGGCTGGTCTCAAACTCCTGACCTCAGGTGATCCACCTGCCTTGGCCTCCCAAAGTGCTGGGATTACAGGTGTGAGTCACCGCGCCCAGCAGGATTCACTTACAAAGCTGCTTCTCTGTGACTGGTTGTGGCCGCGATGCCTCCTGAACCATTTGATTCAGACCTATTCTATATTAGTTTTTTTTTGAGACGGAGTTTTCACTCTTGTTACCCAGGCTGGAGTGCAATGGCGTGATCTCGGCTCACTGCAACCTCCGCCTCCTGGGTTCAAGCAATTCTCCTGCCTCAGCCTCCCGAGTAGCTGGGATTACAGGCGTGAGCCACCGCGCCCGGCCGGTTATTAACTATTTTGAATGCTTCCCTGCAGAGAAAGGGAAGAAATAAGGCCCAGAGTAGGAAGAAAATATTTCCAAGGCCGTTCTATTAGAGAAGGAGAGGTCTTTTCAGAAAAGACTAGAGCTGTTAAAAGTATGGTTTGCAGTAAGTTGCACAAACATACTTAGAGCCTAGAAGAGACCATAGGATTTGTCTACAAAAGAAATTTAGTGGCCAGGGGTGGTGGCTCACGCCTGTAATCCCAGCACTTTGTGAGGCCGAGGCGGATCATGAGGTCGGGAGATCGAGACCATCCTGGCTAGTGCGGTGAAACCCCGTCTCTATTAAAAATACAAAAAATTAGCTAGGCATGGTGGTGCGTACATGTAATCCCAGCTACTCAGGAGGCTGAGGCAGGAGAATCACTCGAACCTGGGAGGCGGAGGTTTCAGTGAGCTGAGATCGCGCCACTGCACTCCAGCCTGGATGACAGAGCCAGACTCTGCCTCAGGAAAAAAATTACGAAGAAATTTAGCTTGTTTCTCCCACCTCCTGTGTCATCTGGGATGGTCTGACAAATGGAATGGCATTGTCCCTTGTTTCCTGCAGTGACTCCCTCCTCTGTGGGTTCAACACAGGCTCAACACCGGCTTTCAGTTCCACCCACGGCTGCCGCATCTCTCGGGCGTTCTTCAGAGAGTCTTTGTGTTCAAGCTTCTCCTGCATTGCCCAGTGGAAGTTCTGCTGGCTCGCCCTCTGGTCCTCTTCCTGCTGAGCCAGTCTTCAACCAGGAGCCACACCAGAGCCACCAGGACCAGGAAGGCCAGGCCCACCCGAAGGAGATTCTGGGCAGTGTGGTCCCAGAGGGCAAGCTCTGTGGGCAGGAGAACAGGGTGATTGCTGACAGGGACCCAAGGACACCCTCTGTTTTATTCTTTTTTGAGACAGAGCCTTGATCTTGTTGCCCAGGCTGGAGTACAACAGTGCGATCTTCAGCTCCCTGCAACCTCCACCTCTCGTCTCAGCCTCCCGAGTAGCTGGGACTTCAGGTGAGCGCCACCACACCTGGCTAATTTTTGTATTTTTTTTTTTTGAGACGGAATCTCACTCTGTCGCTCAGGCTGGAGTGCAGTGGCTCGATCTCGGCTCACTGCAACCTCTGCCTCCGGGTTCAAGTGATTCTTCTGCCTCAGCCTCCCAAGTAGCTGGGATTACAGGCACGTGCCACCATACCCGGCTAATTTTTGTATTTTTAGTAGAAACGGTGTTTCACTATGTTGGTCAGGATGGTCTCGATCTCTTGACCTCGTGATCTGCCCGATTCAGCCTCCCAAAGTGCTGGGATTACAGGCTTGAGCCACCATGCCCAACCCATTTTTGTATTTTTGCTAGAGATGGGGTTTCCCCACATTGGCCAGGCTGGTCTCAAACTCCTGACCTCAGATGATCCGCCTGCCTTGGCCTCCCAGTGTGCTGGGATTACAGGCGTGGGCTACCGCACCTGGCCAAGGACACCCTCCTGTTTCACTGATCCCCATCTCCTTCCCTGCTCGGGACTCTCCACCCAGCTCCTTCCTTTACAGCCCTCGGCCCCAGGTGTCCACTTACCTTTCTGGAGCCCCGTCTCTGTGGATAAAAGGTAGGTGTCCCCAGAGTCTGCCAACAATAAGGGAAGTAAAGAAAAGGGGATGGTGTTGGCCTCCTCCACCCCAGCGCTCCTTCCCTTGGGTATACCCAATGACCTTCTGCAAGGTCCCACCCGCCCTGCAGGTCCCAGAGCTTCATCCAGCAGGTACAGTGGAAGGGTCCGCAGATGGACAAGCCTGAGGAGGGAGTCCACTCTAGCACTCATGAGTGTGTGTCTTTGCAACGGTCACGTCTTCTACATTTCTTTTTCTTTTTTTTTTTTTGAGACACAGTTTCACTCTTGTCGCCCAGGCTGGTGTGCAATGGCACAATCTCAGCTCACTGTAATCTCTGCCTCCCGAGTTCAAGTGATTCTCCTGCTTCAGCCCCGAGTAGCTGTAATTACAGGCATGCACCACCATGCCCAGCTAATTTTTGTATTTTTAGTAGAGACAGGGGTTTCCCTGTGTTGGCCAGGCTGGTCTCAAACTCCCGACCTCAAGTGATGTGCCCGCCTCTACCTTCCGAAGCGCGGGGATTACAGGTGTGAGCCACCACGCCCAGCCCAGGTCTTCTACCTAAGCCTCATTTTCCTCATTAAGAGCATCACTCCTCTCCTCACACATAGTCAAATTCAAAGTCTCACTGTTTTTCTCAGCGTCCTGACCACGCAGCCCCAGCCCAATCCCCATCCCATCCCCACCGTCATCTTCCAGACGTCATTTCCAACCCTCCTGGCCTCACTGCTGTTCTTTTGACACCCTGGTCATCTTCCTGCCTCAGGGCACAGGCAGAGGCTGTTTCCTCTCTCCGACCCTCCTTTCTCCTGAGGGCCACACGACAAACTCACGTCCGAAGGCGTTTGCTCGGATGTCTCCTTCTCTGTGAGGCCAATCTGGACAGCCCATTTAATAGTGCTGCCTGCCCTCCCAAACACTTTAAGTCTGTTCTTCTTTGTCTTCGTCCTTCCATAGCCCCATTTCCTCCTGTGTGCTGTCCTGACATCGACCCCCGGTCTGTCTCCTCCTCCTAGAATCTAAGTGCCACGAAGCCAAGATATTTGCCTGGTTGACTGTTAAACTGTAGTTCACTGTGTGTACCATGCACTCGATGAATATATATATGTGTGTATACACACACACACATACACACACACACACGTATATATATAGTGATGGAGTCTTGTTCTGTCACCCAGGCTGGAGCGAGGTAGTACGATTTTGGCTCATGCAACCTCTGCCTCCTTGGTTTAAGCGATTCTCCTGCCTCAGCCTCCAGAGTAGCTCGGATTACAGGTGTCCATTACCACAGCTGACTAATTTTTGTATTTTTAGTAGAGACAGGTTTTCACTATGTTGGCCAGGCTGGTCTCGAACTCCTGACCTCAAGTGATGCACCCATCTCGGCCTCCCAGCGTGCTGGGATTATAGGAGTGAGCCACCATGCTCAGCCTTGATGAATATTTTGAATGAATGCCCCGTTTTTAGTGTCATTGGGAGCCTCTGATTCCTCCTCTGAGCTTAGAAGGACCAGTTACTCACCAGGAGAGGTGGGGTCTGTAGGTGCCAGGCTGGTATTCTCTGTGTCACCTGGAAAAGGAGATGAAGAACGTAAGGAAGGCTTTTGAGTTTCCCCTGGTCTGACCATTTCTTTCTCTGCACCTTCTTCCTTCCTGTTTCTGGTGATCTTCCTCACACCACCACCTGGGCCCCCAGGAAGCCAACGTCCCTTTGATACCCTCCCCATCACGATCTGGAGATCCCTTAGGGCTCCAGGTACGACATGGCAGCGGGAGGTGTGGGAACCGGGGCTCTCCTCACCTGTGACCAGGAGCTTCACTGGCTCACTGGGGAAAGACCACGCATGGTTGTTGTAGGAGCCAAAACATCGGTATGTCCCTCTGTGGGATGTGGTCACAGAGCCCAAGGGGAATTCGGCCTGGACCTTCCCGTATCCGCGCCGTACGCTGGATCTTCCCTCCTTGAGCAGAAAGAAGGTGCTTGTTGCAGTCCCCAGACGGCAATGGAAGGTCACCTTCTCGCCCGAGATCACTTCCGGTCTGGGATGAACTGAGAGGGTGGGCGTGTCATACATTCCTACGAGAGAAGGCGGGGTCCCCGCACCAGAAACTCAGTGATGAGCAGCCAGCTGTTTTAGAAAAATTATTATTATTTTGGTCAAATTATTTTAGAAGATTTACCATCTAAGCCATTTTTAAATGTATTTATCTGTTTGAGAGATGGCATCTCACTCTGTTGCTCAGGCTGGAGTGCAGTGGCGTGATCTCAGCTCAGTGCAACCTCCGCCTGCCGGGTTCAAGTGTTTCTCCTGCCTCAGCCTCCTGAGTGGCTGGGACGACAGGTGCCTGCCACCACGCCTAACTAAATTTTGTATTTTTAGTAGAGACAGGGTTTCACCATCTTGAGCAGGCTGGGCTTGATCGCTTGAGGTCATGATCCGCCCGCCTTGGCCTCCCAAAGTGTTGGAATTACAGGTATGAGCCACCATGCCCAGCCTAAACAATTTTTTAAAAACGACAGGGTTTGGCTGGGCATGGTGGCTCACGCCTGTAATCCAAGCACTCTGGAGGCCGAGGTGGGTGGGTCACCTGAGGTCGGGAGTTCAAAACCAGCCTGACCAACATGGCAAAACCCCATCTTTTTCGATTTAAGAATTTAAAAAAAATAGAAAGAAGTTAATAAAAGTATTTTAATATATAAAAAAATTTAAAAATGGTAGGGTTTATACCTAATACTGTATCACTTGATATAAAAACAAAAAAAAAAGAAAAAGAAACAAAAAAAATAATGATACAGGGTCTTGCTCTGTCGCTCAGGCTGGAGCGCCATGGCACTATCTTGGCTCACTGAAGCCTCGACCTCCTGGGTCAGGAGTTCGAGACCAGCCTGGCTGACATGGTGAAATCCCATCCCTACTAAAAATGCAAAAATTAGCCAGACATGGTGGCAGGTGCCTGTAGTCCCAACTACTTGGGAGACCGAGGCAGGATAATTGCTTGAATCCAGGAGGTAGAGGTGGCAGTGAGCTGAGATTGCACCACTGCACTCCAGCCTGGGGAGCAGAGCAAGACTGTCTGAAAAAAAAAAAAGCCAAAATATATTTTTTTAAACCCATCACCTGTGATGGATGAGGAAAGCAAGGCCTAAGCCACTGCGCCTGGCCCACAGGCGATGCTGTTGAGGACATTTGTCAGTCACCCTCCTGCACACAAATATCTATCTCAGAATCTGTTTCTTGGAGAACTTGACCGAGGACACATCTGCTGCTAGGACATAGAGACGCTGTCTGCAGACAAGCCCTTGTAGGCAGGGACGTGATGAGTACATCCATCCACCCAACCTCCTTCCGAGAGAAGCAGCGTCTGAGTGGGGCTTGGAAGAGTTAATAGATGAGGCTCCATCCCGGCGGTAGACTGAGCTGACTCTCCAGTTACGGAGCGGGACACTTACCTGTTACCACCAGATCCAGTGAGTCGCTAGGTTCTGACCAGAGCTCCCCAACCCGATAGAAGCAGCTGTATCGCCCGGCCGTGCGGGACGTCATGGCCGGGATGTGAAACTCTACTTTGTTAATGCGCTCAGGGGGTTTTGGTCTCTCCACGGCAGAAAGACTTCCTTCAAAATGCAGCTGGTATTCAACAGCCCCATAATTTCCCTGGCAAGAGATGGTCGCCGGCTTTTCCTTTGGAACCATGAAACTGGGCTTGGCCCAGATGGAGGGTTTTGGGAGAGTCTCTGGAAGGGAATCAGATGTTGGAGTCCCAGCTGAGCCCACCTTCCCACCCTAGGCTCCACCCAGCTGCTGGCCCTAAGTCCTCCTGGGAAGCCCGCACCCTGTCCCCTCTTCCCAGTTGTATTTGGGTGGAGGGTGCTTGGCCTGAACCCGTAAGAGTGACCCTAAGCTTTGAAGGAAGGACTCACGCTGCTGGGTGCTGATCCTCTGGCTCAGACACAGCCCTGCAAGATGGGAATAATGAGACCTATTGCTTCCCAGGCACACCCTGATTCCATTCCCCATCCGGGCAAGAACTCACCGAGGCAGAGCAGGGCAGGGAGTGTGGAAGGCATCGCTCAGATTCTGCTGGCAGTGGGGTAGTGACTGAGCCCAGTGTGCCAGGGAGATGCAGAGGAAGTGGTAGATGAGGCCAACCCTCATTACCATGTGGCTTTCACGTTGACTTTTTTCATAAGAACGTTCACAATTCCCCTCCACCTCTGACCGTGAGCCTACAGAAAGGCCATGGTCTCTATGACACAGCTGTGGTCTAGCCAGCTCCCCTGACCACTTTCTGCTCAGCCTGAAATACATTTCTGGGTCAACTTCTCTTTCTCTCTTTTTTTAAAATTTCTCTGCCCCGCCCCCTTTTTCTTTCTTTTTTTTTTTTTTAGAGATGGAGTTTCGCCACGTTGGACAGGCTGGTTTCGAACTCCTGACCTCAAGTGATCCACCTGCCTTGGCCTCCCAGAGTGCTGGGATTACAGGTGTGAGCCACTGAGCCCAGCCTCTTTTCTTCTTCTTCTTCTTTTTCCTGGGTTAACTTCTCAATTCTGTGATGTGGGAAGTCATGCCCAGGGCTGATGCCCTAACCTCGAATCACTTCAAGTTGTAGTTCTAAATCCAAGGACATTTTGTTATGTTATCGATGGTCAAAGCCAAGAAGCATCATTGATAGGACACTCTTGTCTATGCTATCGACTTTATTCAAATTTCACCACGTGTTTTAGCAGTGACATGTATTTGGTTTAGGATTTAATCCAAGATTATGCAATTTTTTAAATTGTCATGTCTCTTAAAAAAAAAACAAAACTCTAAGGCCGGGCGCAGAGGCTCACACCTGTAATCCCAGCAATTTGGGAGGCCAAGGTGGGTGGATCACCTGAGGTTGGGATTTCGAGACCAGCCCAAGCAACATGGAGAAATCCCATTTCTACTAAAAAGTACAAAAATTAGCCACGCATGGCGGCATATGCCTGTAATCCCAGCTACTCAGGAGGCTGAGGCAGGAGAATCACTTAAATCCAGGAGGCGAAGGTTACAGTGAGATGAGACTGTGCCATCGCACTCCAGCCTGGGCAATAGAGTGAGAATCTCTTTCAAAAAAAAAAGAAAGAAAAGAAAACATAAGTATGCATGCTAATTTATATACACACATCTGTATCTATCAATTATCTTCCTCTGTCTTCTACCTACCACCTGTCTGTATTGCACACACAGCCATGGGTTCATGCTGGTGTCTCTTACTCCATCCAACCCAACACTATAAAATTCATTCTAACATTCTCTCTGTGTCTGATGACAGCCAGACACTTTACCTTAAGACATTTTCAGTTATCTGGTTTTTTTGTACTGTGGTTTTCTGTATTTTGTTTTATTCTAATCTGTGAATTAAAAAAAAAAGAGGAGTGGAATGAGAGACACTGAAACACGAAAAGAGAGCAGAATGAGAAACACGTAACAATCACTGCTCATCCAAATAGTGAAACCAAGCTGGGTACATAACACCAGGCTCCTAACTCTGCAGGGAGGGAGGGGGGCCTGATTAGGGTCTGGTTTCTCTTTGGGATTGGCTTCCCATTTCGTTGCTCTCAACTGTCTTTGGTTCTGCTGTTAAGACTCTCAGATGTAACTCATGAGAAATCTTTCCTTTTCTGAGAGATGACCCATATTGACCAATAAGCGTATGTCTCAGCCTGATTCCTGTCTTTTCAAAGCTGAGAACTTAGGAGTGCAAAAGGCTTATTAGAAAGGAAAGAAAGAAAAGGAAAGAAAAGAAAGCTGGGGAAGTAAAAAAGACTTTTGCAATGTACGTGTCTTTAGATCCATTTATCCCATCATAGTGGCCATTTTGCCAATATGACTACTCCCTGAAAACTCTGTGGGTTTCCTGTGTATCCGATGATTCTCTATTGGAAAAAATATATACCCCCAATTTTTTGCAAGACAGGACTGTGCACATTTTGGGCATTTAAGACTGCTGTGGGACTGTGACCATATGATTTTTATATGACCTTAAGTCTAGCTGAGAGGGTTTACTTGACACCATCTTGAATCTTTCCAGTGACTTACCAAAGAGTCACAGTGATTTCAGACCTTCTCTTCTGGGGCACTATTAACATTTGGGCTAGATGATTCTTTGCTGTGGAAAGCTGTCCTGTGCATTGTAGAATGATTAGCAGCACCCCTGGCCTCTACCCACTAGATGCCAGAAGCGTCTCTTCCCAGTTATGACAACAGAAAACATCTCCGGACAGTCTCCAAATGTCTCCTGAAAAGTAAAATTGGCCAGCAGAGAAACACTGGGTTACACCACTGATTTTTCTCCTCTTCAGCTTAGGTTTCATTTCACTCTGAGAACATTCTAGTAGCTGTGAATATGGGGAAGGAGGAACAATTCTATTTTTCTAACCAGAAAACCTTCACTGACCATCCCCTTTATAGTCTCTGAAAATTATGTTTGCTAACAGAATTTTTTTTTCCTTTAGCTTATCTTTTTTTTTTTGAGATAGAGTTTCACTCTTGTCACCCAGGCTGGAGTGCAGTGGCATTCTCTTGGCTCACTGCAACCTCTGCTTCCCGAATTCAAGCAATTCTCCTGCCTCAGCCTCCCAAAGTGGTGGGATTACAGGCATGAGCTACTGCACCTGACCAGCTTTCTCTTTTATAGGCAGCTTAGAAAAGTCCTTTGACTCCTTCAACATGCTGTCTAGAAATCATATTACCAGATAACAAGTTCATTAGATAGATTTTCTGTCTTCTAAGTTATTGTAGGCAGGAGTGTAAGCCACAAAGTGAGACTCCTTCATCTCTACAAAACTAAAAAAATAAAATAAAATAAAATAGCCAGCCATGGTGGCATGTGCCTATGTTTACAGCTACTCGAGAGGCTGAGGTGGGAAGATCACTTCATCCCAGGAGATCAAGGCTGCAGCGAGCTATGATTATGCCATTGCGCTCCAACCTGGGTACTGAGTGAGGCCCCCATTTCAAAAGGGACAAAAACAGTCCTACCATTAGAGAAGTCCGCTTAACATACCTCCAGGCCTGTGACAAAAGCAGGCACTCTACTCTCCTAACAAAACACTCTGACTGGGAGTCTGGGTTGGTGGCTCAAGCCTGTAATCCCAACACTTTGGAAGGTTCTGGCAGGCAGATCACCAGAGGTCAGGAGTTTGAGGTCAGCCTGACCAACATGGTGAAACCCCATCTTTACTAAAAACACCAAAAATTAGCTGGGCATGGTGGCAGGCGCCTGTAATCCCAGCTACTCGGGAGGCTGAGGGGAGAATTACTTGCCTATAATGGGACCCTACCAGTGGGAGTGACGAGAGTGAAAGGGAGACACGTGGAAGGTGAGATAAGAGGACAGAACTAGGCCGGGCACGGTGGCTCAAGCCTGTAATCCCAGCACTTTGGGAGGCCGAGGCGGGTGGATCACGAGGTCAAGAGATGGAGACCATCCTGGTCGACATGGTGAAACCCCATCTCTACTAAAAATACAAAAATTAGCTGGGCATGGTGGCACGTGCCTGTAATCCCAGCTACTCAGGAGGCTGAGGCAGGAGAATTACCTGAACCCAGGAGGCGGAGGTTGCGGTGAGCCGAGATCGCGCCATTGCACTCCAGCCTGGTAACAAGAGCAAAACTCCGTCTCAAAAAAAAAGGACAGAACTCAGTCCTGGAGCTTCTTAGTCTTCATTTGAAGCCAACACTAATCGGAGCTGATCTATTTATTTTTATAACAGCTGGCATCACACCAAATAACAGAAACATGCCTTCTGAGTTTGAGATGGATGATTTATTGTTTTTCAGTTGCTCATAGAATTCACTATTTATGTTGATGAACCAGCTTCAGGACATCAGAATACCAATGGCGGATGAACTCCAGTCTGAAGATACAGATGAGTCATCCACGTCGTCAGATTCATTTCAGAGCTTGCTGCCCCTTGGGACACAGTGGAAAACCTTAAGCCCTATAACGATTAAATCATATAGACCTCCAATTATTAAAAAAACGAAGTGAGGCCTGGCACGGTGGCTCACGCCTATAATCCCAGCACTTTGGGAGGCCGAGGCGGGTGGATCATGAGGTCAAGAGATCAAGACCATCCTGGTCAACAAGGTGAAACCCCTTTTTTTTTGTAAAAATTTTTGTAAAAATACAAAAATTAGCTAGGCATGTAGTGCATGCCTGTAATCCCAGCTACTCAGGAGGCTGAGGCAGGAGAATTGCTTGAACCCAGGAGACGGAGGTTGCAGTGAGTCAAGATCGTGCCATTGCACTCCAGTCTGGGTAACAAGAGCGAAACTCCGTCTCAAAAAAGAAAAAAAAAAAGAAAACTAAATGAAAAAATAAATTAACAGGTTGATGTGGAACACATGCCTCTGTTTCTCGTATGAAAATCCCTTAGAAATAGGGTTTGTGGGCCAGGCGCAGTCGCTCATGCCTGTAATCCCAGCAGTTTGTGAGGCCGAAGCAGGCAGATCACCTGAGGTCGGGACCAGCCTGCCCGACATGGAGAAACCCCATCTCCGCTAAAAACACAAAACTAGCTGGGCATGGTGGGGCTCATGCCTGTAATCCCAGGTACTCGGGAGGCTGAGGCAGAATTGCTGGAATCTGGGAGGTGGAGGTTGCAGTGAGTCAAGATCACGCCATTGCTCCCAGCCTGGGCAACAAGAGCAAAACTCCATCAAAAAAAAAAAAAAAAAAGAGAAAAAGAAAGAAATAGGGTTTGTGAAATAAATAGGATAATTGATGACTTTCCCCCTCATCAATTTGTAGATGAACACAACAGAAGGCTGAGGTACGAGGATTGCTTGAGACCAGGAGTTCAAGACCAGCTTGGACAACATAAGGAGCCCCCCATCTTGACAACAAAAAATAAAGGACAGGGCTAGTGAATACGTTTGGCATGGTCAGCAACTGTTTATATTTAGGGAAAGCACATTTAAAAATATAAAATGAAGGACAATATGTATATATATATATATTTTTTTTTTTTTGAGACGGAGTTTCGCTCTTGTTACCCAGGCTGGAGTGCAATGGTGCGATCTCGGCTCACCGCAACCTCCGCCTCCTGGGTTCAGGCAATTCTCCTGCCTCAGCCTCCCGAGTAGCTGGGATTACAGGCACGCGCCACTGTGCCCAGCTAATTTTTTGTATTTTTAGTAGAGACGGGGTTTCGCCATGTTGACCAGGATGGTCTCGATCTCTTGATCTCGTGATCCACCCGCCTCGGCCTCCCAAAGTGCTGGGATTACAGGCTTGAGCCACCGCGCCTGGCCCAGGACAATATATATTAAACAGGATACAAAAAATCGGAAGACAGATAAAGATGGAAAACCATAACTGATGTTAAGAAATAGGGCGCAGAGAGTGTCAGGTCTGCACAAGAAAATACCATTTGATTGGTTTGAAAATGAATCTGATGGGACACGGTGGCTCCTGCCTGTCATCTCAGCACTTTGGAAGGTCAAGGTGGGTGGATCACTTGAGGTCAGGAGTTCGAGACCAGCCTGGCTAACATGGCGAAACCCCATCTCTACTAAAAATACAAAAACTAGCCAGGTGTGGTGGTGTGTGCCTGTAGGTCCAGCTACTTGGGAGGTGGAGGCACAAGCATCGCTTGTATCTGGGAGGCGGAGGTTGCAGTTAGCTGAAATTGCTCCACTGCACTCCAGCCTGCGTGACACAGTGAGACTCCCTCTGAAAAAAGGAAAAGAAAAAGAAAACGGATTCAAGCTTGTTAGTGGGCTCTTCTCGCCTGTGTCCTGCAGGTGCTTCGTAGGACTCCACACGTCCTGAGTCGTCTCTCCCTTCACATCCAGGTGTTCACTTGCAGACACGTGGCGTTTGTCCAAAGGTCAATTCTGTCTGACATTTCCGCTTGCTCCAGCTCAGTTCAGCCACGTCAGCCGAGGCTTCCTTGCCTAACGCCCTATGGCTGTACCAGTTTTCAGCCAGTATGGCCAAGAGAGCCATGAGGACCAGTCCTGCCACGGCCATGCGGATCAGGTTCTGCACCGTGTGATCTTGGCTCACGGAGTCTACAGACATAATCGAAGGAGATGAATGGTTGGCGGCTGTGTTCCATTCCATCCAAACCCCAGAGCCCTGACATGGGAGCTCATTTCCGTATTTGTTTGCCAAAATGTGACTCCCTCAGACATCTCCCCAGTGAGCTCACACTTCACAAGCACCACGCTGATCAGTCACCAAGACTGTGTTCATGGGCAAGGAACTTTGGTTTCCAAGGAGGTCTATAAACTGGGAAGGAGGTGATCGTGGGCAGGTTGTGTTTTCTTTCTTTTCTTTCCTTTCTTTCTTTTTTTAAGACAGGGTTTCACCATGTTGGTCAGGCTGGTCTTGAACTCCCGACCTCAGGTGATCCTTCTTGGTCGGGCGTGGTGGCTCATGCCTGTAATCCCAGCACTTTGGGAGGCTGAGGTGGGTGGGTCGCAAGGTCAGGAGTTCGAGACCAGCCTGGCCAACACAGTGAGACCCCATCTCTATGGTCCCAGTTACTCAGGAAGTTGAGGCAGGAAAATTGCTTGAACCCGGGAGGCAGAGGTTGCAGTGAGCCGAGATCGCACCACTGTACTCCAGCCTTGTTGACAGAGTGAGACTCCGTATCAGAAAACAAAATAAAATAAAACAAAAGTTAGCCCTTTTTGGCCAGCAGTGGTGACTCATGCTTGTAAAACCCCAGCACTTTGGGAGGCTGAGGCGGGTGGATCACCTGAGGTCAGGAGTTCAACACCTGTCTGCCCAACATGCTGAAACCCTGTCTTCTCTAAAAATACTAAAAAATTAGCCAGGCCTGGAGGCAGACACCTGTAATCTCAAGCTACTCGGGAGGCTGAGGTAGGAGGATCCCTTGAACCCGGGAGGCGGAGGTTGCAGTGAGCCGAGATTGTGCCCCTGCACTCCAGCGTGGGCCATGAGGTGAGACTCCATCTCAAAAGAAGGCAAGGTTAGCTCTTCTTTTCTCGATAGACCACATGTTTTCAAGGAACACAGACTGGAAAATCTAGCGAGAAAGTGAAAGTCGAGCATAGAGCCGGGGAAGCCCCCCCCCCCACCATCCTGGAGTGAGCGAGTCTCTGCTTCTCTTCACTTTACTCTGAGTGCACCTCTTCAGATCCCTGCCCAGTGACATAGCCCTGGACAGCCAACCCAGACACGGGGCTGTCCTGGGAGGTACCTACCTGTGACCACGAGCTCCAGGGCATTACTGGGGGCGGACCACACGTAGGGGCTGCTGCTGTACCAACCGTAGCACCTGTAGCTCCCTGAGACATTGAGGTCCAGAGGACCCAGAGGGAAGCTGGCCGGGTGTTCCCCACTTTGGTGCTGTGGCAGAGAAAGTTCTCCCTCCTTGGCCAGTGAAAATCTATCAAATGGGAGGTGTGCCGAGCTGCACGTGAAGGAGATATTCTCTCCCGGCCTCACCACACGACCCCGATCTGCAGAGAGGAAGGGTTTGTCATACAAGCCTACGAGAGAAAGGAGTGAGATGTTAGCAAGAACGTCTCTCCTTTACTCTTTTTATTTATTATTATTTTCTGAGATGGAGTCTTGCTTTGTCACCGAGGCTGCAATGCAGTGGCGCGACCTTGGCTCACCGCAACCTCCGCCTCCTGGGTTCAAACGAGGTTCCTGCCTCAGCCTCCTGAGTAGCTGGGATCACAGGCACGTGCCACCACGCCCAGGTAATTTTTGTATTTTTAGTAGAGATGGGGTTTCACTATGTTGGCCAGGTTGGTCTGGAACTCTTCACCTCAAGTGATCCACCTGCCTCAGCCTCCCAAAGTGTTGGGATTACACATGTGAGCCACCATGCCCAGCCTCTATTTTCTTTTTAAAAATGTATCTATTGCTGGGCGCGGTGGCTCAAGCCTGTAATCCCAGCACTTTGGGAGGGGGAGGTGGGTGGATCACGAGGTCAAGTGATCGAGACCATCCTGGTCTCTACTAAAAATACAAAAAATTAGCTGGGCATGGTGGCGTGTGCCTGTAATCCCAGCTACTCAGGAGGCTGAGGCAGGAGAATTGCTTGAACCCAGGAGGCGGAGGTTGCGGTGAGCCGAGATCGCGCCATTGCACTCCAGCCTGGGTAACTGAGTCTCAAAGAGCGAAACTCCATCTCAAAATAAATAAATAAACAAATAAACAAATAAATTTATCTATTTAAAAAAATAATAATTTTTTTTTTTTTTAGAGAGGGTCTCACTCTGTCACCCAACATCATAGCCATATTCACAGGTACAGTATAAACCTTTGCTATGAGGAGGTGGAAATGGCACTTTGCTTCTGTGGTCTTCCTGGCAATAACCCATAACCCAGTCTAGCCATGAGCACAACATCAGGCAATTTCCAATAGTGGGAGTACTCTTGAAACTAATGGACCTCGACTCTCAAAACTGACAAGGTCATGGAAAACCAGGATCATCTGAGAAGCTGTGACAGCCAAGAGAAACCTAAATATACGTGACATCTGAATGCAATGTGTAATCTTTTTTTTTTTGAGACAGTCTTTCTCTGTCACCCAGGCTGGGATGGAGTGGCACAATCTCGGCTCACTGCAACCTCCACCTCCCGATTCAAGTAATTCTCCTGTCTCAGCCTCCTGAGTAGCTGGGACTACAGGTGCATGCCAGCACACCTGGCTAATTTTTGAATTTTTAGCAGAGATGGGGTTTCACCATGTTGGCCAGGCTGGTCTCGAATCCTGACCTCGTGATCCGCCCACCTTGGCCTCCCTAAGTGCTGGGATTACAGGCGTGAGCCACCGTGCCCGGCCGCAATGTGAAATCTTGAATAAGATCCTGGAACAGAGAAAGAATATCAGGTAAAAACTAGGAAAATCTAAGTAAGTTATAGACTTTATCTGAGAATGTGTCAATGTTTGTTCATTAATGTAAGAAATGTGCCATGCTAAACAGAAAACCAAACACCGCATGTTCTCCCTCGTAAGTGTGAGTTGTACAATGAGAACACATAGACACAGGAGGGGAACATCACACACTGGGCGCTGTCGGAGGGTGGGGGGTGCTGTCGCAGGGTGGGGGGCTAGGGAGGGATAGCATTAGGAGAAACACCTAATGCAGATGATGGGTTGGCGGGTGCAGCAAACCACCATGGCACGTGTATTCGTGGGTAACAAACCTGCACATTCTGCACATGTACCCCAGAACTTAAAGCATAATAATAAAAATAAAAGAAAGGAATGTGCCATACTAATGTAAGATGTTAACTCTGGGGAAATGGGGTGCCAGATATCTGAGAACTCTCTGAAGCAACCATCTTGATATTTTCTCGCTCTCTCTCTTTTTGCAAATCTAAAAATTCTCAAAAAAGAAACTCTATTAAAAATAAGAAAAAAAAACAAACAAAAAAAACCACACCACGGCCGTGGACCTGGATGTTTCCTTACCTGTCACCACCAGCTCCAGGGCGTTACTGTAGTGTGACCAGTTGAAGCCTCTCTTGTATCGGCAGTGATAGCGCCCTGCCGTGTTTGTGTCCATGCGGTCAATGACGAACTCACTCTCGTTCCAAAACCCCAGTTTCCTGTCTACCTCCTCATACGTGGAGTTTTTTTGGATCACCAGCTGGGTGAAGAAAGACTCAGCACTGCTCTGGCACTGGATTTTCACAGATCCATGCTGGGGAACCACAGGACTTGATCTGGCAAATATGAGAGGCATGGGAACGTTCCCTAGAAGAAGAAAACGCCCAGACTCAGGTGTCCCGTCACGGGGAAGCCGTTCCCTTCCTTCTCCGTGGGGGAATTAAAAATAAATTAGGGTGTGAAGAACCTATAATTCTTTATTTTTAAAAAATTTTAAATAGGCCGGGCGCAGTGGCTCATGCCTGAAATCCCAGCACTTTGGGAGGCCGAGGAGGGTGGATCACAAGGTCAGGAGTTCAAGACCAGCCCGACGAATCCTCGCTGGATGATTTGAATGATGGCAGCAGTGCAGCAGCATTTAAAACTCTGGGGATCCCACATCTGAATGCTGGCACAGTGATGGACACTAAGATAAGGATTGCCATCAGCCTGGTAAACATGGTGAAACCCTATCTCTACCAAAAAAAAAAAAAAAAAAGAAAGAAAAGAAAACCCCCCAAATTTTCTGGGTGTGGTGTTGTGTGCTTGTAGTCCCAGCTACTCAGGAGGCTGAGGCAGGAGGATCAATTAGCCTGACAGGTGGAGGCTGCAGTGAGCCGAGATTGTGCCACTGCCCTCCAGCCTGGCAACAGAGCAAGATCCTCTGTCAAAAAACAGAACATGGCCGGGCGCGGTGGTTCACGCCTGTAATCCCAGCACTTTGGGAGGCCGAGGCAGGTGGATCACGAGGTCAAGAGATCGAGACCATCCTGGTCAACATGGTGAAACCCCGTCTCTACTAAAAATACAAAAAATTGGCTGGGCACAATGGCAGGTGCCTGTAATCCCAGCTACTCAGGAGGCTGAGGCAGGAGAATTGCCTGAATCCAGGAAGCGGACGTTGTGGTGAGCCGAGATTGCGCCATTGCACTCCAGCCTGGGTAACAAGAGCGAAACTCCATCTCAAAAAACAAACAAACAAGAAAACACCAGAACAAACATATGAAAGATCCTTGTGGCCAAGATTTGACATGCTGGCCAGTGCTCCTGAGTGCCACCTACTGGATCACACCTCAAAATACAGCACTGAAATACTTCACCATTATACAGCGCCTGTGAAAATAAGGAAAAAAATTGAGCCACAAATAAAGATTCTGTGCAGAGTCCCAGCATCTGAAAACACCCAGAAATGAAGACAAGTCACTGTACTCAACTGACATCACAGTTAAAGGAATGGCAGCCCTCGCACGTGAGAAAGAATCAACACGAAGGCTAGGCGTGGTGACTCAGGTCTGTAATCCCAGCACTTTGGGAGGCTGAGGTGGGCGGATCCCCTGAGGTCGGGAGCTCCAGTCCAGCCTGACCAACATGGCAAAACTCTGTCTCTATTAAAAACACAAAATTTTTCTGGGTGTGGTGGCACACGCCTGTAATCCCAGCTACTTGGGAGGCTGAGACAGGAGAAGCGCTCGCACCCAGGCGGTGAAGGCTGCAGTAGTGAGCTGAGATCGCGCCACGGCACTCCAGCCTGGGTGACAGAGTGAGACTCTGTCACTCTGTCACACACACACACACACACACACACAAAGCAAAAAAAAAAAAAAAAGAATCAACACAAGAACGCTGGCAACTTAATAGTCCCCTGGAAATCTGGTTCTCAGCTAGACTGAGATGATGGAAATGAGGGACATGGAATTCAGAATCTGGATGTCTGGGGAGCTCATTGAAATTGAGAAGACATTTGAAACAATCCAAGGAATCTACAGTGGGGACAAACTGGCTTTTTGAGTGCCCAGAGTTCTTGTGTCGAATTTTTTTTTTTTTTTGAGACGGAATATTGCTGTTGTTACCCAGGCTGGAGTGCAATGGCACGATCTCAGCTCACCGCAACCTCCGCCTTCTGGGTTCAAGCAATTCTCCTGCCTCAGCCTCCCGAGTAGCTGGGACAACAGGCACGCACCTGCAACTATGCCTGGCTAATTTTTGTATTTTTAGTGGAGTTGAGGTTTCACCATGTTGGCTGTGCTGGTCTTGAACTCCTGAACTTGTGATCCATCCTCTTTGGCCTCTCAAGGTGCTGGGATTATCTGTGTGAGCCGCTGTGCCCGGCTGTATCGATTCTTTTTCACGTGTGGGGGCCTGGACGCTATGCTGGCACCTCACCTCCAGCATGCCACAGCCACCATAGAGAGAGGAGTTGAGTGTCTCTTCCCTGTAAGCCCCCACCCCCATTTTACCAGGCAGGGCCCCCAGCTCGGGACTGCAGAGCGGCCGCCCTACCCTCGGCATACTCGCTGCTCGTGGCTCTGTGTTTCTCTGGGGAGTAGCTCTGGGGAGTGGCTCCCAGAAGCAACTGACAACCCCTCTGCCCCTGCCATGGCAAGGGTTCTGCCCCTGCTGGCAGAAACAAAGAGCCTGGGGGCTTCATTCATGCTTCCAGCACACCACAGCCACCATACAGACAGGAGCTCAGTCTCCCCTCCCCGTGAGCCCTCATCCCCTTGCTCTTCACCAAGCCGCAGCCTGAGCCAGCAGCACAGCAGCCCCACTTTCTGGCGGAGCTTTCCCAGTCGCCCTGGGTCTGCATTTCTCTGTGGCGGAGCTTCCAGAGGCAACTGAAAGTCCCTCTGCTGCTCCCACTGCAGTGGTGCTGCCCTTGCCGCCCTCAGACTGGGGAAGGAGCAAAGACTCTGAGTGCTTTAGGCCAGGTGTGGTGGCTCACACCTGTCATCCCAGCACTTCGGGAGGCTGAGGCAGGCGGATCACGAGGTCAGGAGTTTGAGACGAGCCCGGACAACATCGTGAAACCCTGTCTCTACCAAGAATACAAAAATTAGCCAGGCGTTGTGGTGCATGCCTGTAATCCCAGCTACTCGGGAGGCTGAGGCCGGAGAATTGCCTGAACCTGGGAGGCGGAGGTTGCAGTGAGCTCAGATCACGCCACTGCACTCCAGCCTGGGCGGGCAACAGAGCAAGACTCTCTCCTGAAAAAAAAAAAAAAAAAGAATTTCCAACCAAGAATCTCATTTCCAGTGAAACCAAGTTTCATAAGTGATGGAGAAATAAGACCCTTTTCAGACAAGCAAATACCGAGGGAATTTATTACCACCAGGCCTACCTTACGAGAGGTCCTAAGAGGAGCTCTAAACATGGAAGGAAAAGACCATCACCAGCCACTACAAAAACGCACTTACGTATACACACCAGGACCACTCTGAACCACACAAACGAGTCTGCATAATAACTAGCTAACAACATGTCAGGAGAAAGTCCGCACATACAAATACTAACCTAGAACGTAAATGGCCTAAATGTCCTAATTAAATGCAGAGTGGCAAATTGGGTAAGAAGCAAAAGGTCAGCGCGGCGGCTCATGCCTACAATCCCAGCACTTTGGGAGGCTGAGGTGGGTGGATCACTTGAGGTCAGAAGTTTGATACCAGCCTGGCAAACATGATGAAACCCCATCTGTAATAAAAATATAACCCCCCCCAAAAAAACCCACATTACCTGGACATGGTGGTGCACACCTGTAATCCTAGCTACTTGGGAGGCCAAGGCAGGAGAATTGCTGTAACCTGGGAGGTGGAGGTTACAGTGAGTCGAGATCATGCCATAAACAGACTAATAATGAGCTCCAAAACTGAACCAGTAATAAAAATCCTACAGAGCAGATGAAGCCCAGTACCAGACAGACTCACAGCTGAATCCCATTAGACACATAAAGAAGAGCTGGTGCTGTGCCTGCTGAGACTATTCCAAAAAACTCAGGAGGAGGGAGGCCTTTCCAACTCATTCCGTGAGGCCAGCATCACCCTGATGCAAAAATGTGGCAGAGACGTTTCAAAACTAGAAAACTTCAGGGCAATATCCTCGTTGAACACAGATGCAAAAATCCTCAGGGAAATAGGAGCAAACGATCCAGCAGCACATCAGAAAGTGAGTCCACCACCATCAAGTAGGGTTTATTTCTGGGATACAAGATCGATTCAATATACACATATCTTAAATGTGATTCACCACATAAACAGAACAAAAAAAAAAACTACCACATAATCATCCCAATAAGGCTTTTGATGAAATTCAACATCCCTTTATGTTAAAAAAACCTAGACAAACTAGGCATTGAAACGTATTTCAAAATAAGAGGAGTGATCTATGACAGACTCACAGCCAACATCATATGAATGGGCAAAGCTGGAAGCATTCCCCTTGAGAACTGGCACAAGACGTGGCTGCCCTCTCTCATCACATCTATTCAACACAGTACTGGAAGTCCTGGCCAGACAATCAGGCAAGAGAAATAAAGAAAAGGCATCCAAATAAGAATAAAGGAAGCAAGACTATCCTTGTTTGCAGATGATGCGTTTCTGTGTCTAGAAAACCAGTCTCTCCCCAAACACTTCTTTTTTTTTTTTTTTTTCTGAGACAGAGTCTTGTTCTGTCACTCAGTGTTAACTCACTGTTAACCTCTGTCTCTAGGGCTCAAGCAATTCTCCTGTCTCAGAAATCTCAGCTGGGATTGCAGGCATGCACCACCACGCCCGGCTAATTTTTTGTATTTTTAGTAGAGACGGGGTTTCACCACATTGGCCAGGCTGGTCTTGAACTCTTAACCTCAGGTGATCCTCCCTCCTCAGCCTCCCAAAGTGCTGGGATTACAGGCGTGGGCCATTGTGCCCAGTCATACTTCTTAATCTGATAAACACCTTTGGCAAAGTTCTGGGACAGAAAACCAATATACAAAAACCGGCAGCATTTCTGTACACCAAAAACATCTAAGCTGACTGCCAGATCAAGAACAGAATTCATTCACAATCACCACAGAAAGAATAAAAGCCTAGGAAGACAGCTGACTGGGGAGCTGAAATATCTCTGCAAGGAGAACTACAGAAACCCTGTCACAGAAACCACAGACAACACAAACACATGGAAAAACATTCCATGCTCACGGATCGGAAGAATGAATATAGTTCGACCCACAGATAATTCAGGGCATAGTCTTTGGAAGGAGCTGGAAGAGAGAAGACACGAAGGGACGTGGGGCTCACATCCACTAGGAGGCTAAGGCAGTCGTAGGCGGGGTGGCAGAATACTCAGTAGTACTCTAAGACTTCATGCTTAGTACTGCAGCAGTACTGGAGAATACTAGAATGTTCCGTCGGGTTAGACCACAGGCTCCCTTTAAATGAAGTGATGTAGCCGGGCACGGTGGCTCACACCTGTAATCCCTGCACTTTGGGAGGCCGAGGCGGGTGGATCACGAGGTCAAGAGATCGAGACCATCCTGGTCAACATGGTGAAACCCCGTCTCTACTAAAAATACAAAAAATTAGCTGGGCACGGTGGCGCGTGCCTGTAATCCCAGCTACTCGGGAGGCTGAGGCAGGAGAATTGCCTGAACCCAGGAGGCGGAGGGTGCGGTGAGCCGAGATCGCGCCATTGCACTCCAGCCTGGGTAACAAGAGCGAGACTCCGTCTCAAAAAAAAAAAAAAAAAAAAAATGAAGTGATGGAAATAGACAGGAGGAAGTAAGTTGCTACAATAAAATAGAATCAGTGTAAGGAAGGATGTTGGGCAAAGGACTCCTGACTTCCTCACTCTTGCGGTGGGGAGCAATCAGCTGGTTACAGGTCCCTCACGCGCAGTCTAACAGAGGCAGGGACTCACTATAAATCCAGGCCCGAGCATGAGTGCGTCTGAAGGGACTAGAGATAACGGAGTGAGATGGAACGAATCAAGGGAAGCCCAGCAGAAACAACCGGAACGGGGACTAAAACAGGAATCTCTCTGTGCTTCAGGCTCTTCCTCAATTGCTTCATCCTAGAGTTTCCAAGGGGGTCTAAAGGGCTGGGAGAGAGTCACCGGACACTTACCTTCCTGTGCCTGAATCCTCTGGCCCAGACAGAGCACTGGAAGAGAGAGATTGATGAAAAATCAAGCTTCCGTTTCCAACCTTTATGACAAGTCGCCCTCCGTAATGACAGACCAGAAAAAGCCCAGTACCAGATGGAGTCACAGCTGAATCCCGCCAGATATATAAAGAAGAGCTGGCATTATTCCTACTGAAACTATTCAAAAAAATCCAGGCGGAGGGACCCCTCCCCAACTCATTTTACGAGGCCAGCGTCATCCTGATAACAAAACATGGCAGAGACACAAGAAAAACAGAAAACTCTGGGGCAGTATCTTTGTTGAACATAAATGCAAAATCTTCAACGAAATACTAGTAACCATATTACTACATGGGGTTCGATCATATTTTTCCCTTCTACAGCAATCACTGTTTTGAGGCTTATTCTTTATTTTTCCCTTTTAGATTCCAGCCTCTAGGTCTCTCCTTGATAGCAACCCTGCAACCATCATGAATCCCAGACAACACACCATAGGTTTTTTTTTTTTTTTTTGAGACGGAGTTTCACTCTTGTTACCCAGGCTGGAGTGCAATGGCGCGATCTCGGCTCACTGCAACCTCTGCCTCCTAGGTTCAGGCAATTCTCCTGCCTCAGCCTCCCGAGTAGCTGGGACTACAGGCACGTGCCACCATGCCCAGCTAATTTGGTTTTTTTTGTATTTTTAGTAGAGACGGGGTTTCACCATGTTGACCAGGATGGTCTCGATCTCTTGACCTCGTGATCCACCCGCCTCGGCCTCCCAAAGTGCTGGGATTACAGGCGTGAGCCACTGCGCCCGGCCCAACGCACCATAGGTTTAACAAAAATAACACCCCCGCAACCTAGTTCGGACTTGGGCAGAGACAAAATTATAGATATATTGGCAAAGACTGCCCTTCTACTAAGGAGATCAGACTCTCCTTCGCAGCCATTAAAATCTCCTAGTCATACTGTTAAGAGACACCCTGGTTATTTTGGGATTCCCCCATCTTCCCCTCTAACCCACTTTACTCTGAAACTCACCAAGACAGAGGAGGGTGGTCTCTTTGGGGGCCATGATGCTGACACAGCCTCAGCCCCGTTGGCCTCCTTTGAATGCACATTAGCAGGATGACTGACACTCATAAGTATAAGCTTCTCAGGAAGTATGAGGACAGAGCCCCCATCAGAGAATTTCTACATCTGTTGCCTCACAGAGAAGAGGAACAGTTCATTCCCAAAGAACTTACTTCCGGGTTCTTCTTGGGTGGAGCATAAGAGAAGACCTATCTTTCTTTCTTTCTTTTTCTCTTTCTTTCTCGTTCTTTCTTCTTTCTTTTTCTCTTTCTTTCTTCTTTTCTTTTTCTTTCTTTTTTTAAATAGAGATGGGGCCTTGCTATGTTGGCCAGGATAGTCTCTAGCTCCTGGCCTCAAGAAATCCTCCTGCCTGAGACCTATATTTCTATTTATGTTTCTGATGAGAAGTGAATTTTCCTCAAGCCAGTGTCTAATGGTATTCCAATCCATCTCTGAACCCTTTCCTACATCCAAACGGAAGGGCCTGGGACAGCATGTAAGGTGGATGGCATTACAGGCAGAGACGGTCTCCACTGGGCCATCTCTCAAAAGCTCTGTGGCTTTGTCTATTCTGAGCTAATGTTTGATCTCTGGGATTCACAGTCAGAGTATATTTTCCTGGGCTTGATCAGGCATGCAGTATACCCTTACCCTAGAGATTATCTTAATGCCGAACGTGGAGGCATTTTCTATGGTGCTATTTGTCATCTCTAAAGAAAGAATGTACCAATTTATTTTACTGTGTGTTTTTTTTAATGTGTATAAATGTAAGGAGCCCAGTGCGGTGGCTCACGCCTGTAATCCCAGCACTTTGAGAGGCCGAGATGGGTGGATCACCTGAAGTCAGGAGTTTGAGACCCGCCTGGCCAACATAGTGAAACCCCATCTCTACTAAAAATGTGAAAAGTTAGCCAGGCGTGGTGGCAGCCACCTGTAATCCCAGCTACTCGGGAGCCTGTGGCAGGAGAATCACTTGAACTTGGGAGGCGGAGGTTGCAGTGAGCTGAGATCGTGCCACTGCACTCCAGCCTGGGCGACAGAGTGAGACTGTGTCTCAAAAAAAAAAAAAAAAAATACTATTGTTATTGTTTACAAATGACATGGCTTTCTGTTGGGAGAGAGATACTTACTAATTGGCCGAATTTCGGGAACCTCAGTGGCTGACATTTATTAATGGGCAGGGACCGATTGTGTCAACTTCCCACAACGTTGGAGAAGGTTTTGTTTTGTTTTCTCATTTGGTGAAACAGGAATGTTAAAATCACCACGGGTGCCCAGACATTTGGTTAAACGTTACTCTGTGTCTGTCTGTGGGGGTGTTTCTGAGTGAGATTATCACTGGAGTTGGTAGCATTTATAAGGCAGGTTGCACTCTCCGATGGGAGTTGGCCTCATTCAACCAGTTGGGACCTGAATAGAATAAAAACAAAAATCCAAGTGGTAATACAAGATGAAGTTCTTCCTGCCTAACTGTTTTGAGCCTGGACATCCATCTGGTGTTTTTTTTCTCCCTTGAGATAGAGTTTTGCTCTTGTTGCCCAGGCTGGAGCGCAATGGCACGATCTTGGCTTACCACCATCTCCACCTCCTGGGTTCCAGCGATTCTCCTGCCTCAGCCTCCTGAGTAGTTGGAATTACAGGCATGTGACACTATACCTGGCTAATTATATATTTTTAGTAGAGATGGGGTTTCTCCGTGTTGACCAGGCTGGTCTCGAATTCCCAAACTCAGGTGATCCGCCTGCCTCAGCCCCCCAAAGTACTGGGATTACTGGTGTGAGCCACTGCACATGGCATGAGCCTGCCAGCTTTTGGAAAGTCACATTACCTAAAGCACGAGACATGTTTATTTAAAGACGGGAGAACTACGTTGAAGTTATTAAAAAATTTTTAAGTTTTACTGATGACAGAAGGCTGATAGTCGTAGGGAAGGTGGAACAGCATGAGGGAAGGTGGAACAGCACATGTCTAAGTGCTGTGTTAAGAGGGAGCCTGGACAACATCGTAAAACCCTGTCTCTTCCAAGAACACAAAAATTGGCCAGGCGTTGTGGTGCATGCCTGTAGTCCCAGCTACTTGGGAGGCTGAGGCAGGAGAATTGCCTGAACCTGGGAGGCGGAGGTTGCAGTGAGCTCAGATCACGCCACTGCACTCCAGCCTGGGCGGGCAACAGAGCAAGACTCTCTCTTGAAAAAAAAAAAAAATTTTCCAACCAAGAATTTCATTCCCAGTGAAACCAAGTCTCATAAGTGATGGAGAAATAAGACCCTTTTCAGACAAGCAAATACCGAGGGAATTTATTACCACCAGGCCTACCTTACGAGAGGTCCTAAGAGGAGCTCTAAACATGGAAGGAAAAGACCATCACCAGCCACTACAAAAACGCACTTACATATACACACCAGGACCACTCTGAACCACACAAACGAGTCTGCATAATAACTAGCTAACAACATGTCAGGAGAAAGTCCGCACATACAAATACTAACCTAGAACGTAAATGGCCTAAATGTCCTAATTAAATGCAGAGTGGCAAATTGGGTAAAGAAGCAAAAGGTCAGCGCGGTGGCTCATGCCTACAATCCCAGCACTTTGGGAGGCTGAGGTGGGTGGATCACTTGAGGTCAGGAGTTTGATACCAGCCTGGCAAACATGATGAAACCCCATCTCTAATAAAAATATAACCCCCCCCCAAAAAAAAACCCACATTACCTGGGCGTGGTGGTGCACACCTGTACTCCTAGCTACTTGGGAGGCCGAGGCAGAAGAATTGCTTGAACCTAAGATGCACAGGTTACAATGAACTGAGAATAACATAAACAGATTAATAATGAGCTATAAAACTGAATCAGTAATAAAAATCCTACAGAGCTTGGCTTCATTTCTCTTCTTAGCACGTAACACTACACGACATCATGTACTTTTGTCCACCAACTGGGTTGAGATCTGCGTGGGTGTATGGATTGTGTTTTCTGCTGCCGCCTCCCTGGTACCCAGAATGATGCCTGGTGTAGAGTGAATACTCAATAGCTGTTTAATACATGAGTGAGAAAAGAGTGACTTTGCACACTGCTCTGTGCCGTGGCTACCATGGGCCAATGAGAGAGGCCTGGAGGATGGAGATCTTTGAAACCACAATTCCAAGTCATGGTCATTACTTCACCAAACTGAAAGGGAAGCCCTGCCCCATCTAATGGGATAGCTGCGCCACTCCGTTGAACCCACGACCTGGACGCCTGGCGGGTCCAGGATTGTATGGAATTGGATGCCACGGAATCTGGATGTTCCTTCCCTTTCGCATTTCTGTCTCTCACCTGGATTTCTTCCCCGAGCACTGGGGACGTGGAGACGCAAAGTGACTCGAGTCACCGGGGGGAGTGAGGGGTGGTGGACCTGGCCCCAAAACCCTGCTGGAGTCAGCTGACGCCATTAACTGCTCTCTCTCGGATACAGGTCCTTTTCCTCCCGCCAGGGGGCGCCAAAGAACGCAGGGCCCTACCTGGCCTTGAGGACTGGTGACGTCAGGAATAAGCCTCTCGTGATTGGCTACCTCATTTCATACGCAGTCAAAGGGACCAATGCTATCCAGACCCAGGGGCCATTGTGGCTCCAGCCAGTTGTCCTGGCGCTTGAGGAGGCGAGTCCATGAGTTCAAGGCCAACCTGAGCAACGTTACATGCTCTCATTGATTGACCAAAAAAAAAAAAATAAAAAATTCTTTTTATTCCTTAATGCGTGAATGTTAAGGAAACATTGCTGTCTTAACAATTTGCTTCACGACTTGCTAAACTGTTGCCCAGGCTGGAATGCAGTGACTATTCATGATTGTATTTATTGTGCACTACAGCCTGGAACTCCTGGCCTCAAGGGGTCCTCCTGCCTCAGCCTTCTGGGTAGCCGGGAGTACAGGCGCAGCCTACTGTGCCAGGCCCATACTTGCAAGACCAAAAAACCAAAAAATAAAAAATTTAGCCATTTTAGTTGCTTTTAGGGGGAATGTTGGTCTGAATAACCTAGTCTGCCATTATCAGCTGGGATTACAGGTGTGTGCCATGGTCTCATCTAGTGTATTAGTCGCTCGTGCTGCTGTCACAGCATGCCACAGACAGAGGGGCTGAAACAATCCTTAACACTGACTTCCACATCCTTCTGTGCTAGATGTCCAAAACCAAGGTGTGCTTTCTTCCGAGGT